TTCGATGGCCCCCAATTTCCAAGGATGATGCTCGCAATGGGATTGTATGTTGGTGCTGGACTTGGGGACCATGGTGATCGGTGATTATGTTGCTTGACGATGGCCGTAGCAAACGTTTCTAGTTTTAACCCTAACCCTAACCCTAACCCTAACCCTAACCCTAACCCTAACCCTAACCCTAACCCTAATTTATAAGTACTTAACTCTTTTATTTACGACCTAGCGAATAAAAGAATTTTAAGATTTTAGTTAATTTAAAATTTTAGTTAATTCTTTTATTTACTATATAGTAAATAAAAGAATTTATAAATACTAAATTCTTTTATTTACGACCTCGTATATAAAAGAATTTATAAGTACTCGATTCTCTTATTTATTATATAGCGCACAAAAGAATTTATAAGTACTAAATTCTTTTATTTACGACCTAACGAATAAAAGAATTTTAAAATTTTAATTATTTTAAGATTTTAGTTATTTTAAGATTTTAATTAATTCTTTTGTTTATGACCTAGCGAACGAAAGAATTTTAAGATTTTAGTTATTTTAAAATTTTAATTATTTTAAGATTTTAATTAATTTAAAATTTTAATTAATTCTTTTGTTTATAACTTAGCGAATAAAAGAATTTTAAGATTTTAATTAATTCTTTCGTTTATTATATAGCGACTAAAAGAATTACTAAGATTTTAATTAATTCTTTTATTTACTATATAGCGAACAAAAGAATAATTAAGATTTTAATTAATTCTTTTATTTATTATATAGTAACTAAAAGAATTACTAAGAATTTAGTTAATTCTTTTAGTTATTACTTATTAAATAAAAGATCTTTTAGTTATTACTTATTAAAAAAAAGATTTTTATTTATATTGAATTTTTAAAAGAACTTTTTATTTCGTAATATTAGGCGGCCATGGTAGTAAAGTAATATTAAGTAGCTATAGTAGTAAAGTAATATTTAGTGGCCACGGTAGTAAAGTAATTTAGTAACTACGGTAGTAAAGTAATATTTATTAACTATAAGAATAAAGTAATTCTATATTTTATAACTAAAAAAAATAACTTATTTAAATATATTAAAAAGTAATAACTAGGTAGTTATAATATAATAATATTTTTATTAATTTCTTACTTTTTTAAAATATGCCTTATTTTTAACTAATAAGTATACGAAATTCTTAAAATTTCCTAAACCTAAGCCTATTTAGCTTACTTAATATAGCGGATTGTCTTAGTGTAACTTATTTAATATTACTATGCTAGGGGAATAATACGCACTTTAGGCAATTTGTCACCGGCTTCGATACGATTTAGCCCCATGTAGAATAAAGTCTGCTTTAGTCTATATGACCTTATGTAAGACGAGGCTTAAACTCGATTTATTAGATTTATAATAAAAGTTAAGAGTATTAGTATGAAAGGCTATAAAAGGGGGGGCCAAAAGAAGTGCTTCTAGCTCAAGTATTCCTTATTAAAGCTATTTAAACGTCATAAAATCGTTATTGAGTTTTTATTAATCTAAATATAAAGCTAGGTCGCTTAAAAGTCACCTTGTTTTAACAAGGAGCATCGTGAATACTAGCTTCTTACTATTCCTTATACTCTCAGCTAATATTAAATACCCGAGTCATCCTGCGTAGCATTATAGTTCTTATTAAACATTGTATAGTACACAGCCCAATTAGTGCAAGTTTTTGAAAACTCATCTACTCGACCGGAGTCCCCGAATTGGCGACTTAGCTTCTCTGGTTGCTCAATAAATTGCAAAGCAAGACCGCCACTTGCGTGCCAGGCAATCTGTTATTATTGGTTAAGCATCCCATGGCCAATCTGTAGTAAATGACTTACGTGACAGTGCATCAACCAGACACCGGGGTTATCGACTGAATCCTGGTACTTAGATACTATTATGCAAGTGAAGAATGAGTCCGGACTGCCTACTTTGGAAAGCAATGATCAGATACCCATTGACTGGAAGTAATGCCACGTCACGGCGGGGCGGGTCATCGCGGTTAATAGTGTAGTTCTTTGGGTCGAACTCGGTAGTTCCAGAATCGAGAATAACGAAATCGTGTCCGTGTATATGCATAGGATGTGCTACTGGTGCTTGTGTTTTGTAGATTTTGTGCGTTGCGTTGTCGACAGACTCTTGGAATTTGCCCTCGATAAGGAAATACACCCAGCTATTCTCCTTGTAAGACCGAAGATCCACAGGCTCGTAACCTTTGGGAAATTTGGGATTCTCCCAGCCTTGGTCAGATGCAATTTTGACTAGACTCAAACTGGGTTGCGACCAGTCTAGATAAAGCGAAGAGTCTTTAAGAACCCACTTGTGGAGCGTTGCATCGGGATCAAAGTCGTTAGGGAATCCGACCAGGTGCACCTTCAGCGAGTCCTTCTCGAAACCTTCATTGGCTGCGTTCTTGACCATCCGTGGGACTATCGGTTTCAGATCTTTGGGAGACTCATCGAGGCATCCATAACAAACGTGGCGGTCGTCTACTGGAGGTGTCCAAGGTAATCTTGTTGACGTAGGATCATAGCGGATAATGCCAAGATTCGATCGGGCACCTCCAATTTGACAATCACGAGCATGAATCCAGAAGTCCGTCCGGGTATTCTTGCTTGCATTGGCGTTGATGATGATGTCGTAACGCTGGCCAATGGCAATGTTGATGATGGATGCTGTGTATGGTTTGATTGGGACAAAGTCAGTACCTACAACCGTGAAATTGTGATGATCGATCCAGAAAGTCGTATGGGTCGAGGTGCCGGTGCTGACAAGGCTCATCTTGTAAGAACTCCCTCGCTTGAAGTTAAATGTGGTAATGTTGGATCCGCCAACGCACTTCAAGTCTGAATTACAGCCCGCACCAACTGGACAGCAGTAGTATCTTCCGTTACCGTTCATTAACATGCTATCGGGAGCAGGAGGTCGACCTAAATCACTTGATTAGATTTGACTTGTTTGTGGTGGTGCAGACTTACTCATGTACTCGAGTTGCACCTGAGAGAATGCAGTTTTGTGAAAATTGTCAGTTATTAGTACGGGACCAAGATCTTCATCGTAATTCATGCTCGTTGGCCCATTAATCTTCAATGCACCCACCAGTCCATCCGCATCTGGCCAGTCGTGTCAACATTACGTGCAGAGGGTGGTGATAAAGAGTTGGGGTGCCGAACATTGAAGACTAAAGTGACCTAAGAAGATCAGCGATTGTCATGCAATAGGCTATGTTGACTACCCACTATGATACCATGAAGTTCCGTATTGAGTGGCTCGCCAGGTGTATGTTTTCTCTTCCCCAGGCTTTGATTGTCAGCTTTTTGTCTGTGGGATATGGAGATGCAGGCTCACCGGGATTGGGCATTCTGTCACGCCCGACACTCCATCCATCCAATTCGAGTTACGCTGATGGATGCCATGCCAATGAACAGATGTCCCATTGTGATTCTTCAGCTTATTCTTGATTGTGATTTCTTTAAGATAAGTCAGATGAAGTCCCTAGATCTGAGTATTTATTCAAACTCAACAGAGCTTGGGCCAAGATGATGGGAGGCGGCGCCAGCAGACTTACTAAAGGTATCTCCCCAATTCCCCTCAAGCGTAGGACCAGGATAAGTTCCATTGAACAACATGCGTTGAACAAGGTACCCATCAGGGGCAATTTCATGGTTGTCGACCTCTAGGTAAAACTAGATCATTCATAATCAGTGACAAATGATCAATTTTGGCATCACTATGAGACATCACTGACCTCTCTCTCTATTCCACCAGGCACATGCTGTTCGTAGTCAGTGGTGATGTTGAATCTCTCAGACCAACATTCACGATTGTTAGCGGTGTTGCAAGACCCTGTAAAAGACATGCCACTGGGTTTCTCGGCAAATAGCTGTGTTGCCAGTCTACCCTGAGCGGAAAGTTCAGGGGTGAAGAAGAGGAACTCTGTGAGTCTTTTGAAAAACGTCATTATTAGAGGTGGATCTGTCGGCCAGACCAATTCAAGTACGTATAAGGATCTCACGAAGCATCAACATCTGAGGTGGAGGAAATGCTTCATTTAACGGCAAAAATGGAAGTCAAGTTCAACTGTCCTAAACCTGGGTTGCAAGTCATCAAGCGCCTTGAGACAGCCAGTATGTAAGTAGTAAGTATGCATGCTTGCGGTCACGCCATTCATGCAGCTATACTAACAGGTATGCTCGTCGATATCGATCTCTGTGTGGAGACGAATCGAGTGACTCTTCCTTGGTAGATCTCTGCCTAAGTAGATCATTGCTCAGCTGAAGGACTTACGCTATTAACCGTAGGGTTTGGCCAGTCTCGGTTATCGTAGAATTGACGACGGTAGCCACCGCATTCTGCCGCAGCAGGTTCGTCCTCACATTCATCAGAGTCAAAGACTGCTTTCAGAAATCGCCCGGGAAACACGAACCCCGTGGCGTGCTGGTGTACAGATACCCAAGATAACTATCAGGGAGTTAATTGGTGCCAACATCAGCCACATTCACGCTTGCTAAGCTTGTACGTTGCCATCGCACTCGGCTTAATGTGCCAATATCAGTTTCGAGCCGTTGACGGAATTTTAAAAGCCTTTCCCTCAAATTCTCATTTCCGGGTTCAGCTAATGTGACTTCCGTTGGGATGCATTTGCAATGGCCTTTAGGGAAGCTGAAGCGGGACGGTCCGAACCAGGATTGGCTAGTCAGGTTCCAAGACACCCTATGTTCAGCCGCACGGAGCATGGCTGGCTGATCACGCCAGCTTTGACATGAATCGTTCCGTTCAAGTACGTGGAATGAATAGGTAGACGGAATGCATTTGGACGTGGATTTCCAGGTGAGTGATTCCCGGCCAATTTTGATCATGACTCACAATACCAGGATCGATACCGCACTTTCACCGCAAGTGAGTCAAAGTTCGGGAACATCAGCGACTTCTTGAACGGTCTCAGGCAGAAGGGGGTTAAGTGCTGCACAAACATCACGCCTATCCTCAGTCTTCGAGAGTCAGACGCCGACCCATACATCAATCTACGTAACTTTTGGGATGAAGGAGATAAGCTGAATCCAGCCACCAAGTAAGTGGCACCCATACTGATAGTTTGACTAGGCTGACGGATTATTCGTAGTCTTTTGGTCAGCGACAAAAGGTATCGGAATGGTCTTCCCAATATCCAGCAGCGTGGATGGCGATATGATGGCGGTGGATTCGCAGTGCCGACACAGCTCGATCCAGCCAACCCCGGTATACAGAAGATCTACACAGACTCTGTGGATGCGCCCGAAAGTGGACTTCGTGACAACTACAACTTCAACGAGAATTACAACAGTGGGTATCCATTTCATGGAGGCGTTAGCTACGGCACACTTCCTGGAAACGATACCAATCTTGGGACCGTGAGTCAATCTCCACAGATTCTTGATTCAAAACTGATCATTGGAGGCCGGCTTTTATCCTGACTTGAACCGTGCGGTTGCACGCCAAAGATGGGGTGAGCAGTACCAGTACCTTTTCGACAACGGCCTGGAGTTCGTGTGGCAAGATATGACAACTCCTGCCGTTGCAGAGGTTTACGGCGACATGCTTGGGTCAGTAAACCGTGTGTTCTGGAGTCAACAGTCGCTAACAAACTTACAGCTTCCCATCCCGTCTTTTCATGTCCGATGACACACCCAACCAAGATCCGAAAGTCACACCATTGACTAAAACTGCTATTGAGCTTTGGGGTCTTTACTCGTACAACTTGCACAAAGAAACGTACAGAGGGCTAAATAAGCTCAAAGGAAGAGAAAACAAGCGCAACTTTATCATCGGCCGTGGTAGCCTTACTGGAATGCACAGATTTGCTGGCCTTTGGACTGGTGACAATGGCAGTTCTTGGGATTTCTGGAGAATTTCGGTTGCGCAGGTCATTGCTCTGGGGTACAGCGGTATGACAATCGCAGGAGTTGACATGGGAGGCTTCACCCCAGATCCAGACAAGGAGCTCAACTCTCCGCAGTGGTGTGACCCAGAGCTGCTGATTCGCTGGTACACTGGAGCATTCTTGCTGCCCTGGTATCGAAATCATTACATTCAGCATAACCCCGGCAAGAGTTTCCAGGTAGTTGCGGATACTACAAAGCTTTCCGTACTTTACTTACGTTGATCATCGTCCAGGAACCGTGGCAGTACACATACGCTTTTCAGAATTACCCAGGAGCTCTTCAGGGGTCCAGCCAAGATGTGTATAACCTCTACATGTCAGTCGAGCCGATCTGCCGCTACTACGTCCAACTCCGATAGCTCATGCAGGTACTTTATGATACGATGTTTGCAAACCTCGTTGACGGTTTGCCCATTGCCCGCGCCATGGTACGCCAGATAATCTTGTTCCGCACTTTGAATGAGGGTGTTCACTAAAACCATCAGCTTATTACTGATCCGGAAGATACAACGCTATTCAATGCAAATGACGATTTCATCGACAATCACTATCTTCTTGGTCACAACACTCTAGTTTGCCCTATCCTCAATCCAGGAGTAAACCACAGGCCAGTTTATCTGCCCGGTTCTGATAAGTGGTATCCATTGAACCTTCGCATCGACGTGCAGAATCAAGGAAATGACCCGCAGCGAATCAAGCATGCTGCTGATCTGGAGCAATCCGTATGTGGTGGTACCACGATCAGTTATGGGTGTTATATACCCAATGCCGGGTATCAACCCGAGCAAATACCCTTCGTTACACCAGTATATGTCCGAGCCGGCAAGTAACTAAAGCACCCATCAAACATGACTAAGTCTGACAATCACAGGGGCCATCATTCCGCAACTTTATCACCGCCAGTTTGTAAATGAAGGCAGTGTTAACACGCCTACAATTCACATCTATCCCAACGTACTCGGGCGAAAACCAACGGCAAGCGACCTTCTACAACCTAGGTAAAGAACCTAAACTGATAGGTGAGCCGTCTTATCATTACTCCATGTACTTGGATGACGGCGGCAGCCGGGACAGTGCGCCGGCCTGTCTACCTCAACACAGGTATCCTCATGCTGCCACCTCTACTACGTGTGAGGCCAAGAGCTACTTCCGCGAAGTCAAGATTCATCAGGTTTGTCCAGTCCATCTAACGTCAATATCGGCGTATATATCTAATACCTGGCTTAGGAGTATAACGGCGCATTGTGCATTATCAAGCTCTCTCATCCTTGGAACCAATTAAAACGCGTGTCCTCTTATTGGCGACACGTATCAACTCGCCATCTGGACTGAAAAGTGCACAGCACCAAGCGCTTCCGATGCCGTCAGTGTCTCGTTTCAGGACCAAGACGGAAATTCCATCACTAATCCAGGTTTGACGTTCGAGTATACCCCAAGCCGAGGTGTTTTGACGGTTTATGTGCCGGTAGCTCTGGTACCCAATCTTCAGAACCAGCTACCTGAGTTGGTTTCCCCTGAGGACCACTTCGTCTCTATCCGAGTTTCTGGGCTTTCTTGAGTTTGTGACTTGATGAAGTAGTCCAGAGACAAATTGGTATGGTTCCTGGGCTTGGTATTGCATTGCTACTGAATGTTTGTTTTTCTTGCGAGGGCGTAACTCATCGACATCTGAGAACTTGTGTGGTTATGAATCGGAGGACTCAGTATTACTGCAAAGAACATTCAGTGGATACTATTACTGTCTCGAGAGCTTCTACTCATATATCTAGTATAGATAAGGTAGGATATGACAGGGTTGAACAGCCTCAAGTAGATCTCAGCTTCAAAGTTGGGTACAAAACAGTGACAGTGCCTTTCTATCTATCCCGCAAGACTTGTCACGTACGAAGCGCTAATGTTGCAACTCTCCGTTGACTCAGTTAACGTTATGTATCTGAGTAAACCGTGATTTCCACCTTGATCGGTTGACCTATTAATAAGTTGATTTATTTAGGAACTCACATGACCACAACCCCTATGAAGTTACAAAATTATGCACAGAGCCTTAGCTGGGGAGATGACTTTCCCTTGATAGTGTCCCTTTCAGGCGAAGCCTTGATAAGTTAATATTAATCCGATTCAGTATATGTAGAGGGGTCCTTGACAAAGTCAATACAAAAGCCATGGAGTGCAGCTAGTCAATAGAACTTCTCCGTTGACGATGTTTATATCATATACCTAGGGTAGGTAAGTCAGGGTCTGAATCCTTTATCGAGTTTATAATGCAATACCATTCTGTAAATAAAGTCTCAAAACCAAGTACATACTGGCAGCTCTTGTAGGCATATGACTTGGTAGTAGAATAGACTAGTGTGGCAAACGCGTATACTGGCTTGCAACACCGGTGCTCCCCTTTCACTGATGTAAAGACCCACAAACGGGCTATGCCTCTCCAGACTCGAAATCACAATAAGACTCCTGACTTGGGTAGCCAAGTAGCTACAGTGGCAAACCTCAGCCTGTGGGTTCTATACTTGCGCTTTGTAGCCACAGAATTACCAGTTTCTTGGTGCTGTCATGTCCAAATCCTCGAACATGGGGAGCTGCCTCTGAATGCGCTCTTCGTCGGGGTGCGCTAGACAATCCCATGCTGCAGCTGCACCGAGGTAAGTTGAAAGCAATTGTTCCATAGAGGCTTGTCCATTTTGGCTCCCGGCTCTCGGTGCATCTTCATGAACTGGCAGCCCGGTCTCAGCAGCAGACTTGTTCAAGGGGGACCCTAGCATCTGTCTGATGCGCTTCATGTAGTCTGGTTCTTCCGGTCGTAGGCCTTGTTGACATGAAAGATAGCCATCACGATTCTTCCAGGCCTTCATCGTAAACTTGGCAAGAGCGATGTTGTACTCCTGGGAGGGGTCCAAAAACTCGGGATGAAACTCGTAAAGAGACGGCACTAGCTGCCAAGCCCGCTCGACTATAGACCCGGTCATTCGCTGGCTAAGCTGGCCAATCATGAAAATTACTACGTCATACTGAAATAGCAACTTGAGAAACCAGTGGAATTCGGGGTGTCTATTCGACCTATAGGCGTTAATGTTCTGCTCGGTGGTCATGACAGACCATTTGAATAGGTTATCTTTGGGTGTCATGATCTCCGATCCCCATTCTGGTTGTTCCTGGGGAGGGCGACTCGTTTCCTGAACTTTTTGAAGTATCAGAGACTTCAGAAGGCTGGCCAATTCGTGGACAGGACCAGCCGTAGGATCGGAGTTCTTATCGATCACAGCATTGAGCCGACTCTCGAGATTCTTGATAAAGGCGCTCATTTGTGCCGACTGAACTTTGCTTCTTCTTCCTGAGCTCAGGGTGCTCAATTCGTTGTAGAGCATTAACGATTCGATGTCTTGTTGCTGCTGAATGCAAAAGCCAACTTGATACACCAAGAGTGGAATTACCATGTCTGTCGGGCCTTCGCGATCCTGATATCGCTCCGTTGCACCCGCATGTAAGTCCGCGTCATTCAGGTTTTTGGGAAGTTTACAGTCGCTAGGTCGAGGAAGCAGTGATTGGCTCAGCCCTGATATCATGGAGAATTTGGAGTCCAACATGAAAATCTGCCACCAAATCCGCCGCCTCATCTCAGTTTCAAAAGGTGGAAGGCCGAGAAGCTCCCCATCTCTGTGGAGGCCCATTTTCTGGGCGATTCGTACACAGATACCGTTCAAAACCCAAGCTCCATGGATGTTGCACCTGCCCTGTATTGACATCTTGGACACAGTTAGCAAGACAGTCAGGAACAAGCAAGAAGAAGTAGCCATACAATGTGCAAAACTAATGCCTGGAATGTTGTCAGATCGTGAGATTTAAGAAACTGCGCCTGGAGCAGACTTGCTCGTACTCCGGATGAAAACCGCCAAAAGGCAGCTTTGCATGTGGAGCCTAGCATTGCGAGGCACTCATCATCAGTCATGGAGACGATGGACATGCTGTATACGGCGAAGAGAAGAGCGTCAATGTTGTGTGGCAAGGTCCCTGGACCAGCGGCAGCTTCTGCCACGGACTGCTGCAAGGTGGGAGGGTGTATGATTTTCGTAAGAGAATTTACTCTCTCGAGAAATATTTGCCATAAGCCGAAAATCTGACCGGCGTTGGGGTAAAGATCATGAGGTTTCTCAGACGGCAAGTTGCCGCCGACAAGAAGATATTCGCTGTAATCGGGCATTGAAGCTCCGGGGTCCCAGTCGGACGGTTCAGCCTCAGCGATATGCTCTTCGCGTTCCACAAGTTTTCGCATCCCACGTAGCTAAAGGTGTTGCTTTCTTAGCAAGAAGCGCAGCCAGGCGAAGGATATTCCAAAGGTCGTACCTCTTCATAAACGGTGGCCCATAGGAAGTTGTCCATGAAACGCACAGTACCACCTTCCGTCACAAGCTTGCCAGCGGGTTTCCAGTTGACCTCGTGGTTCTCATACTGGGGAATGCTGGAAGACTGTGGCGGAGCGACTGTGCCGTTATCTTCCAGGGGCTCATTGCTTGCAGCTGCATATCGGGCCAAAAGCTCCTCACAACGAGCAAGCCTTGCTTGCAGCTCCGCATTAGGACGTCTACGCTTTCGCACTGGTGCCGGAATGCTAGGACTACATGTTGTATTAGACTAGGTAGGAGAATATAGAGGTCAGCAAGAGTTCAAGAGCAAGCAAGGAAGCAATAACAACAAAAGAGATGTGTGGTCCGATAGATATGCGGAAGCTCTAGCTCCTCAGTCTCGGAGACAGAGATCCATAGCATTACAATATGTTGCTGACACTTCCCAAGACAGACCTTGACACAATTCGCGCACGGGTATAGTCGGTCACATTTGACCTTTCGACGTTGGCATAGCATGCATGCTAGAGGCCGAGGCTGCTTTGTAGAAGAGGTATTCGGAGGAGGAGCCGACATCTCGCGAAATGAGTGAGCTGACGACATACGCGAAATGTGCACCAGGAGTCTCGCTCAATCTTTTCTGCCGATAGCGGGAACGGGTATGTACAGGGGGGGCGATTGGGGGCCGACTAGGAATTGAAAGACATGCGAGATGTCCCGTTATGAGCGCTTTTTTGGGTACGTTTTTCAGAAGCCGATGCGCTCATCCATCACACTGCAGTACAACTGACGGTGGCATCAACATGAGTGGGAAGTTGCGCAGACTCTCGTTGTGGGACGCCAGTCGGAAAGGGTGACGAAGTTTAAATCGAGGCCAATGCCTAGGAACGGAACCGAGCGGCTTGCTCGGCTGTAGCGCCCCTGCAGCTGTGGTTAACACGTATTTGTCAGGCGTCGAAGCCCTCTAGCTAAGCTGCCACCAAGTACTACGTAACGCTACCAAATTGTGCCTAGGCCGAACATTGGTCAAGGGATCCATCCAGAAGGAGGAGCACGTCCCCGTTAGGCGAGATATTCCTAAAGAGACTCTTTTCGTAACCCATCAAGTGAATCAAGCCACCCAGCGTGCAATCCACCCAGGCCTCTGTGAAAAGTTTTGCGCTGTATCTCGTGCAGCAAGAGAAAGCTAGCGACTTCAATGGCACTGTTCCGCGGTGTGCGCTAACAATTCTATGAATCAAAGCGTGCTGCTAGACATCGCTCCTCCTAGTGACACAGTGAATTCAATTTCAGACACGTCTGGTGCAATGAGGTGAAGGTATCTCGATATCATGCATCTCAACTCGAGCTTGGAGGTAGCTTGCGAAACATATGGTGTCCTCAGATTGTGGTGCGTTAAGTTAGGATGTGCAGGCTAGCTTAAGGTAGCGTACGGATATTCTACATTTACCTGTATGTGACTCCTGTTGGCCGTTGATACCAATTAGAGTGTCCGTATCCATCCCATACTATTGTAGAGGTGTGGAGCGAGGCAAAATCAGCCACTGGAAGAAGCCGAGCCAGTAGGAGTAAGTTCTTCGGGGTCATAGTCCGTATGTGCAAGTGTTCAATCGGGCCAACTAGATTTATAACTGTCTTGCCTTCTTCTTGAGACGGCAGTCAGGCTGTCAAGAGTCACGTTGAATCAGAGCGCTCCAGAACGATAGAAAAGAATAACCTTTGAACAATAATCTTTGAATCTTCTTTTGGCCCCAGCCTTTGTACCAAGATTTCCAACGCCCCACGAAATCTCAAGTAAAATTCGGAAGAGCTTTCCAATGATAATTTTATTAGATATAAGGTCCAAGATCAATGTGTCCGTCGCCGTCGAGGAGCTGGAACAAGTTCAGATCCCCAAACCCATGGTCCATCTCGTTTCTTCCATCAAGCATAGATAAATCCGGCGTTCTGGGTAAGGAGGATGAAAGGCTCAAGAGGGACGCGTCTACGTCCACAAAAGATGGCGAACCAAGTCCAAAAAAGCCAGAGGCGGAGTTATTTGTCTTCGACAGGAGGCTTCCATCCGTGCTTGTATTCGGACTGGCCTCAGTAGCTGAAGCTTGGATGTTGTGGATGCTTTCAGTGCTTTCTCGCGGGACAAGCCCGAAAAGCTGTGACGAGCTTTCAGTACGCTGCATACGCTCTCTGAGTTCCTTCTTTTCCAAATACTCAAGAGCAGCGTTGAGTAATGACTTTGCAATGAGCGAGTATTGTGAGGCGTGGGCATCGATTTTCGCAAAATGTTCTAGTACCAATATAGAATTTCGCGTGTACTTTTCCAAAATGCGGCCAAAGGATCCGAGGAGGCCCACGCCCAAGATAAGAGATGAAGCAAATAACCAAGAGCTACAGAAATGAATAAGCCAGGTTCGAAATCACTGCATCGATATGATCACTCACACGACTAAAGGCATGTGCCCTATTAGAACCCCTTTCTCGACTAGGCCGACTAAAATGTCGACCATGAAGCTTGCGGCATCGATACACGCATCAGCAAGTTTCGACTTGCCAGAAGTCAGACCTGAAGTTGTCGTTGGTGTCTCGGCAACCCCGTCGGCTAGTCGCTTGTACAATTCATACATTAGGAAAGGTCGTGAGACTAAGATTACCGCTGTATAACATCAGTATCATCTCTTTGGATCGTAGTGCTGGACGGAAAGTCGCCAGGGAAACTGACCGTAGTAGTAGGAACAAAGGACTTGGCATGCTCCTGTCACCCTTTTTCCTTCATGGTCAGATCGAGTGTCGGAAACAGTGTCCTTTAGCCTCTGTAACCACCGAATTGACCAGTCTCGTAGCTGTCGTGAGATACCCTCGGTCAATTGATATGAAACCTTCCTTCTCGAGTAGACCTCTACGACGATGCCTTCAGTGATCAAGAATATTTGCGCTGAGGCATTGAGTAGATCGAAGATTTCTTGTCCCTTATCGTCCAACTCCCTGTAGGGTACAGTGCAATCCACGTCAGATGTTGCAGGTGGCCGGCCCATTGATGTACTTAAGAAGAGATCCAAGACACGCAGGCTCTTCCACAGGCGATCCCTACCAAGTATGAGCATTAGCAGTTTGTGTTAGTGACAGGGTAACGAAGGGGGTTTCTACCGCTGTCTATGAACATCCGCACCAAATCGAGAGTTGATCTCGGTGCGGTGGATCCCAATCGAGTAAGCTGCTCTCACTGCGATGCCTGCAAGTTTGCCTTGTGATGAGTATGAACCACTCTAAGTACTGTTATGACTGATAGTTCTCCTGGTGACATACCGAAGAATAGGAATGCCCCATTCATCTGGCATGAACCAAGCATATAGACAGTAACTAGAATGAACGTCTGAATGGTTGGGACATTGATGTTCCCGCTGAGATTTGCAAGGGCGATGTTGCGCGCATATTCAAAGTAGGAAGATGCAAGGTCTTCCTCGGAAGACTGGTAGCCTATGGCAAGAACGAGATAATGAGTGGCGGATACTGCGTCTTGTAGTCTATGGTTCTGACGAGCCCAAGACTTGATTTCGCTGACGAGCTGCGCATGTCCAAACAGATCAACTAGACCACTGGTCTGTGAGATTACGTAGGATTGGTTATCAAAGTTGAGCACACCGTAGCCAAACAAGGAGGAGGTCTCACCACTTCATGGTACCTTAGAACGGCACCCGATATTGTCGTAAGTTGGAGAATGGGCTCGCCATTTCCGGAATGATGAACCGGCGGTCGAAAAGGTGGATTTTCAGTCTGGTGCGCAAAGACTTGCGGATCAACGCGTGTGTTCACCAATTGCCGGACAGTTTGGAAGAATGACAACGGCGCACAATCTCCAATGAAGACTTGATGACATAATTACAACACATCAGTTGGGGAATTAGGTATGTATCTGTTTGGGATGGACGCACTTATTTTCCCCTGGGCGTCGCACAAAAGACGTGCTTCTCGGGGGACTTCTGTCTCTTCTTCGGCGAGGGCCTCGTGTGACGTGACTGATTGCCGGGTCTCGGACTGAACATCTGGGCCATTGTGCACAGATGGAGACGGCGTTCTCAGAAGGGGCGCCGGAGCCCTTCGCCTCTGTTGCGGAGAATATCGACACGTGGAAGGACGTTGCCGTCTCAAGCAGTAGCTGCATGGCAACTTGCCATCGCATTTGACTGTTACACGGAATGGTTAAAACAGAATTCAGATAATAATTCACGAAACACAGCATGCAAGTGCGCGCTGAGACTGTTTGTGGGCCAGGAGCGCGCACATTCAGCTGACTACCTGTAGTAGACACAACAATGCCCAAATTCAATAGCAAACTGGCTCGTGAGAGACATTCGGAGACGAAATGGGAATTGTACCTTTGCGAGCCTTGCAGCTGTCGCAAGCGTTGGCGACTCTTGTGCGGACATACGCGTGTGGCGATGATTCTTGCCCCGAAACATCTTCCATAGTGTTACAGCCGTAATTACTTCGCTGTTGTGCAGGCAGACATGCGGAAGAGCGAAGATCGGGACGCGGAGGGAAGAAACCAGTCAGTGCCGACGTGGAAGGTTTCCGAGGGCGGAACTTGCTCGACGCTAGCCGTGGTTGGGTAAACATCTGTCATTGCCAGGGCACATGATACAGTACTTCCGATCATATACACGTTGACGGATGCACGGTGTAGACACGATTTGTTGGAGCCGCTCCTAGCCACCACAGAGCCACTTCTAACATCCAGGAGGAGCCTTAGTGTACTTACTTGACCTGGTGCCTCGTCATCACACTTCCGATCCTAGGAGGACATCGTACACAGAAAGTTGAAAACTACCCTAATCACCACTCTGCAGTGAATCAGGCGTGACTTGTAATACGATGACGTACATGCCTGCCTGGAGAGTGTTTTTCACTTCACTGCTTGGCTCCGAATTAGTCGAAAACCTCGCTTTTCGGAATATTCTGTTAGACTGGCAGTATTCCCCCTCCTCCGTACAGTCATAATTAGTAATTCCTGGTGAAACATCCTTTAACTAACCATTCTCTCTACTTTCCCCTACGATGGTTCACTGCGATTACTCCGCCTATAGTGTGGAGTTTTGGGAAGTCCAAGGCATGAGGGATATCAAACTGCGGCAAGCGGCAGCTTGGTATGATGGCCAAATGAAAGTTCTGGTCGAGGCTGGGCATTTTCTACCCCCATCTTACCATTATCAGATAAAAGCAAAATGCAAGCCTGGATTGAATATTCCAATCGCAGAAGCGCGTTTAGGGAACAGTAGACTTCCACCGACATTTTCGGAAGTAACAGAAGTAAATGCATGTCAGCATCAGGAAATTCGTCGCCGCTGCGATGGCTAGTGTTTTTTATTCGCTCAGCTGCGATGCGATCCGAGATCCGAAGTCACTCTTCCGCTCCCGTCACCTGAGAAGGGACCACAGCGGTCATACAGATGGAACTTTCCCAATTTGTGGACCCGGCTTCATGTGAATGGAGCATTGAGGTTACATGCGGAAGTTTGACTCTTCAGTCCCCTTGCATTAGTCTAGCACTGAATTATGTAATTTCGCTCCTTTTCGATGGCTATACTGTTATGGATATCATAGATCGACGCATCAAATGTTCATCTCCGCTCTGCTCTCTCTAACTGTCCCGCCTGCAGAGTCTCGTCTCTTGTTTGCTTCAGGAATGGCATCAATGCTGTTCCGCCTGTTCCCGTGAGCTGCTCGTCCTTCACTGAAGATGCGCTTGCCAAGTCTACTTTCACGCCACTGTGCATCTTCTTCGAAGGAAGCACGATATAGCGGGTAACAATTTGCAAATGCTTGTTCCGAAACTCTGTCATCGTTCGAATTGCTGCTTGGTATGCATTGCAGAAGTCTTGCTGCTCGACAGTCGAAACCGGTAGTTTTGCAAGCTCTCGGATGCTGCCCATGCGGGCAACGTGTTCGAGGAAACGTTTGTGTGGCCCTGGCATGTAAGTGCGGACTTCCTCGTGAAAAGCGGGCATTCGTGTTTGGCTGGTGTTGGTCCTGCTTGCATGTGGGTTGCTGTTGCCCTCTGATGTGTGCTCAACCCCCAGAACAATATCGAGAAATTGGATCAGAGAGCTTTGTCCGTTGCTTCCCCCACGAAGTTGTTGCCAACTACCCTGACCGTTGCCTTCGTCGTAAAAGACACCTTTGGGTAGGCCTGCTGCTGCCATGTTTTTACTTCCGGCCAGAAATGGACGAATCTCGTAGAAGAATACCATCGGGTCGCATTTCTCATACATCCGTTCCAGTAAAGCCCCGATCTGTCGAATATTGCCAGACAGTGCTTCTAGTGCCCGCGTGATTGTGTCGTAGTGCCTTGTCTTAATGGACTCCAAAGCATTTAGCATGTCGGTCATAATTCGAGCGCCTTGGGCCTCCATGGCCACTGAGACTAAGTAAAACCAAACTTCGTCTTTTGTGCCAGTAAAAGTGTGTAGAGACTCAAGAGAATCCAGATCAGTGAAATCGTTCGTGGTCGATAAGAAGTTCCACAAGTTCAAGCCTGCGTAGGTCGCGACAGGCGGAACTTCGAGATGCTCGGAGACGCGTAAGAGAGGGACAGCTATTGCTGGAGGCAGGACCTTGAACTGATGTTAGAAAGCCCTTGGAAAGTCAGACGGAGTACCAACCTGTTCTGCCTGTTCTCCGCCCCAGATGTAGGCATGCGCCAGAAAGATCAAAATCACATAAGCTCTTCTCCACTCAGATTGACTGCGTAGCTTGTTCGTCGATAAGAGAGGAAGACCTTTGACATCTCGTCGCAGCTTGCCTGCTTTGAGAAGCTCCGGGAGATGATGGATAATTGTTTCCCATGGTGAGTAGTAAGGATCCGGAAGAACCTTGACAGGTGCGTCGGCCGGCAGGAAACCGTTCTGTGTGATGGCGTACTTCTTCATCAAAGCAAGGACATCTGTCTGTGCCTGTTCTGCGAACATAGGAAGCGCGTGAGGAGACATATTAACGGAGTTTAGACGTCAATAACACAACGAAATAGCCGTACTATGATGAAGTCGATACGTGGAGAGAAAGGGGTAAGAAGAGATTGATTGAGTTATAATGTGCATGGAACAGAAAACAGTTCGATGCGAGTCAGGGTGTGGTAAGATGAAGAAGTAGCTCTTCAACTGCATGTCTCAAGTCCCCTGTCTCCGTGTTGCTTGCCAACCTGTATCCGTACTTACTCGGTATTCCGTACGCATCTTGCACTAATACGCTTGTCATCCGATGGTATAAGTGGACCAAGCCGAAACCCGTCGCTTATATGCGGAAGCGCTAGGGCTGAGACGGAAGCGGATACCGGATGTTGGTGGGGCCGCTCGCGAAGTTTTCGGAATGACGATGCGCCATCTCGAGTAAGATGAGGAGGGGACAGGTACAAAGACGAACAAGACGCCCTCCTTCTGCCTCGAATGGTGCCATATCTGAGAGAATCCGGATCATTCAGAAAAGTTGACATAATTTGTCGTACGATCTAAGATGGATTTCAACGCATTTGCCGAGCAGATTCGTTCTGGGAGCCAGGCCAAGTTTCCTGCCAATGCAAACACCATCTCGTTTGCGCAGCAGCTCGACACGCAAGACAAACTCGCGTATTTGCGCAATGAGTTCATCATTCCGACGAAAGGCTCTCTCAAAAAAAAGTCTTTGACCGGAACTCTCCCTAGTAGGTCCTGCCAAAAGTTAGTGACACAAAACCTGTGGCACAGCAATCATCCCAGATCCAATACTAATTACCCCAAAAGACAATCAACTTCTCAACGGCAATGCAAATGTGGTCAATGGCACCAATGGAAGTCATTCGTCGTCCGAAGATGATGCGACTCCATCAGTCTACTTTTGTGGTAACTCACTGGGAGTTCCACCCAAAGCAGTCAAGGACTACATTCACGCTCAGTTGGAGACCTGGGCATCGATTGGGGTGAATGGCCACTTCCAGGGCCTCGAAAACTCACCCCTTGTTTGCTGGCAAGACATGGCTGAGGACGTGGCGAAGAAAAGCGCAGCCATTGTCGGCGCCCTCCCCGAAGAGGTTGTTATGATGAATACCTTGACCGCAAACCTGCACTTTTTGATGGCCAGCTTCTACCGACCGACAGAGAAGAAGCATAAAATTATCCTTGAATGGCGGCCATTTCCGAGTGATCACGTGAGTCGACTGTCATCACATACAATTCGTATACCGAGCTGACAAAGACAGTATGTGATCGAATCGCAGATTCAGTGGCATGGATTGGATCCGTCCAAGTCGATGGTCCAGATCCAGCCCGATGAGAACTTTTACATCTCAACTGATCTCATTCTGAAGACCATTGATGAACACGCGGAGGAGACTGCCCTCATTTTACTTCCCGGTATACAATACTACAGTGGCCAACTTTTCGACATGCCTCGCATTACCGAATACGCGCAGTCTAAGGGCATTATTGTCGGTTGGGACTTGGCTCATGCTGCTGGAAACGTCGAGTTACGGCTTCACGACTGGAATGTTGACTTCGCGGCCTGGTGTACATACAAGTACCAGAATGCTGGACCAGGGTCAATGGCCGGCGCATTTGTCCACGAAAGACACGGAAAGGTCGACACCAGCGAGGGGAAGCCCAAGTTTCGCCACAGACTAACGGGCTGGTACGGCGGTGACAAGTCGGTCCGCTTCAATATGGACAACAACTTCCTCCCTACCGTTGGCGCTGGTGGTTTCCAAGTTTCAAATCCATCAGCCATCGATCTCGCCTCGCTATCGGGTGCCCTCTCGGTATTCAGCAAGACCTCCATGGCTGAATTGCGAACAAAGTCTTTGGTGCTTACTGCGTACGCGGAGCATCTTCTTGATGGCATCTTGGCAGACGATACCGACGAACCTTCATTCAGGGTTCTTACGCCTAGGAATGCCCACGAGAGAGGTGCTCAGCTGAGTGTCCTGCTCAAGGACGGCCTACTCGAACATGTCGTGGAAGCTTTTGTTGAGGAAGGAATCGTTTGTGATAAACGCAAGCCAGGAGTTATCCGTGTCGCGCCGGTGCCCCTGTATTGCACATTCCAGGATGTATGGAAGTTCATGGACACTCTGAGGAAAGCTATCGCTTAAAAGTCTTCATGAAAAGTTGCTGCCAACACAGTATTAATGAGGCTCTATACTAATTAATAAAAGAA